AATCATGGTTTAATCTTAATTTATTTCAATAAAAATATTTAATTGGTAAAATACTGCACTGAAGAATAGTAACATAGTTGCTGCTTAAGCTTTGCATAACAAATAAATCTACAATATAATTAATTCCTTGGTTGCTTTCCATATCCATATCATAAAATAATGTATATTTAAATGCTAAAAGAAAAATCAATGATATTTAATACAGTGATTGTATGAAATCTATTTTTAGAATGCTGTATATCATAAATTATCCTAATCTCGATTAATTTATTTATTTAATGTAGAAGTTATGAGTTGGATAATATTATTGTTCCTCTATTTTTAATTCATTGTATTTATTTTGCTCCGTTGTTGCGTTTGTGTTCGATCTGGTGTTGAAGGCCACGTTAATCTTGAACTGTTTTATAAATTGGCACACTTATGCAAAGTCAACGACTCGTCGCCGCTTTCCTCTCTCTGTCTTTCTGTCTCGTTTCCTTCATCACTTGCTTCCTCTGTCCGCAAAACAGTTAACTGACTTCGTCGAGCTTCGTGTGAAAAGCCGAAAGCCGAGCTCAGTTGCATAACTTTCATACCAGCATTAAAACAGAGCGCCACGAAAGTTCATTCGCCTCGTGCACTCCATTCGTCCCATCTCTTTACCCCGCTCGCTCCTCTCTCACTGGCTCTCTTGGCCGTCTGGCTCTCTGTTAACCGATTCTCAGCCTCTTAGCCATTGCAGGCCAATTCACTGCCGCGGCCATAATAATAGCAATCAACTGTAAAATATTTTGAAATCAAACGTGTAGTCTAGATTAAGAAGAAAATGTAAGCAAGTATATTATCTATCCACCTATTATCTATCAACTAACATACTGCTTAGAAAGCTGACTTATCAAAAGTGTTGGCTGCTTAAAAAATCTAGTCAAATCCTAAATAAATATTCAAATTTTAATCAACAAAAATAAACTATTACACTCGAATATTATTATGATATACATTTTTTTACATTTTTTACATTAAATTCTGCAAATCCATCCGTACATATTTTTGGTCTTGACTGTTTTGGGATTGCTTTTCTCTTTTTAGTGAGCTTGGCTTTCGTTTGAGTTTGCCTTTGGCGCACAGCTTGAAAAAGTTTTTTGGTGTGTGTGTTTTTAGTGTTGTCTCTTGAAAAAGGAATGTTTGTTGTTTGTCAGCGGCGACGTTTTTGGGTGAATGTGTTTTGGGTCTTGGGTAGAGAAAAAGAGAAAAGTTGGGGGGAGGGTAAAGTCAAAGAGACGGGAGTGCGATGCGGAGATGATGTCGTCGATCTGTGCAGCATTGTTAAAGGTCAGTTCTCTTACCTAACTTTGATTGCATTTTTGTCTGTTTTTTGTTTTATTTTTCTCCGAAGTGTGTGCGTTTGTCGTTGTTTGTTGGTCAACAGTTTTTTTGGGTAAACAGTCAAAAGGGTTTGGTGAACCGAAGCCTTGGGTAATAATTAATAGTTGGGCGAGGGCACTATCCAAAAGGTGCGAAGTGCAAACATATTCTCAAGTGTTCATTAGACAATTTTTAAGGAAATGTTTAGAAGCATCTAAAAGAAAACAAAGATCGAACGAACGGAAGCGAAGAACATATTACATTTTTGCTTAGCAATGCTCTTTTGAAAGTAATTCATCATAGAATTTTAACTTTTAAAAAAGTATTTAAAAATAGAAGTGCATAATGTTATAAAGAAAACAATTCTATTTTGGTCCTTGAATAAGTCGAAATTTAAAAAGCTTAGCATGTTTGTTAGAAAATATATTAAAGAACTATTTGTAACAAGTTATTTTAAATATCTTAAATAATTTTAAAAGATACATAAAAATCAGGTCGGACATCTTTTAAAAACAATATATATATATGCCTTTTACTACTACTTACGCATAATCAATATATAATTACTTATTACTGACATCCACTCCAAATTCAAATAAAAGTCATTCAAAATCTATAAAAATATTCATATACACAAAAGGTTTTCTGTTCCTCTTGTTTTTGCTAAACGCACGCAAAGAGTGCAACAACAATGAAAAGCTTTCAAATCGCTCAGAACAATTCTAAAACGCATACGAACCCACACACAAAGGCAGAAACAACAACAAAACCAGCGCGCTGCAGCGGTGCAAATTGTAACGCCCCATACACACACCCGCACACACATGGGCAAAATGGCCGCGACATTCAACTTGAACTTTTTGCGCACTCGCTCTCCTCTCTCGCTAGCACACATAGAAAATAATCAAGATCAAGTTTCTTCCGGCATTTTCACAACAACAAAACTAGAGCTTTGCGAAAAGAGAATGAGAAAGAGTGTGTGTCAGAGAGGGAAAGAGAACAAGTTTCATTAAGAGAGCTTTTAAATCGCGTTGGCGTGTGTGTTAGTATGAGTGCATGGCAAGTGCATTTCTGTTATCTCCGCTATGATGTCACTTTGGCCGCCTGTAGCCCTCAGTGGGTTAAGATGTATTGTTTTATTTAATTATACTTTAATATCAAAGTAAAGCATTGAAATTTCATGTTAAACACATTACTCTTTTGCTGTTCCTGTAAATTTAAAAAGCCTATTTATATTTTAAAACCTTAAAATAGCGAAACATATGCATACATAATTTGAATAAAGCATTTCAAGAAATCAATTTATCATTGATTTTTTTTTAAGATTATACATATATGGTATGGTTTCTTTTAAGCTCTTAAAAACTATTAATCGTAGCGAATAAGTAAATAAACCATTATTAAGTTTGTGTGCCACATACTCATAAATTAAATGTTGAAGTTAAATATTCCGTTTTATAATTTTGAGAAAAGAACTAGCTTGCTACAACTGATTAAAAAAAAAATTTAATGCCATTAGCTTCAATACAATGTATTGACTTATCATTTTATTTTGCAGTTTTCCCTAGCTGCCCAAAATGAAGCAGACTCATTTTCACTCGCTTGGCGTTGGGAAAGCGCCGCATCGGCCTATGTATGCTATATGTGAAATTCTTGGAAAAGTCGAAAACACACCACTCGGAGAGCAACAACAACGTCATCGTTGCAAGCATTGAACTCGATTTTGTTTTCATTGCCGCCTGAATTTCTAAAACGCAGCTAATTAGTCGAGAGTGTTTGCGTTGCTGCTGCTGCAGTTGTTGCACTTGCAGTTGTTGCACATGGATCTGCGCTTCTTTAGCTGTGTTCCACTTTTCTGGCAGTTTTCCACTTTTCCACCGGCCAATGCTGCGACTCAAGCAGATTTCACACGCGGCCAAGCAATTCATCATAAAAATTATTGCAAGCTGCCATCAATTGGCAGCACTGATAAAAATGTAAGATAAAAATCTTTAACAAAAAAATATATGTTTTACATTTTACTGCTTATTTTATATTTAATCAAAAATAACTTAGTATTAATATAGACCTTACAGGATTGTATAACAACACCTAAAAAAATGAACTGTTAACAAATGAAATAAGAAGTAAGTAAATCTTATGAATTTTAGAACAATAAAATATGGTGATTCATTTTAGAAACTCAACTGTTTCAATTTTCGTAGGTACAACCTTTTTTTTTAGTGTAAACCAGAAGAAGATGGCTAAAACCGATCGACCGGCAGAGTTTTCAGTTGCAAGATGTTTGCTTAAAACCAAATGAAAATAAGTTTTTCCAAGTCCAAGCCCAGGCCGCGCCTTGTGTGTTTGTTTAAATAAAATGAAAGTTTTTTGCTGCACTTTTTGTTGTTTTGCAAATACGCGCGCGCCAATGTTTGACATACATAGAAGACGGCAGCCTGAGTCTGTCAGTCGGTCACTTAGTCACTTAGTCACCTAGTCACTTAGTCTCTTAGACACTAAGTCGATTGTGTTAGTGGAACATGGCGAAATAGCAGACTTTGTTTAGCCAGCGACTTGCAAACGGTCGTTGCCGTTTCGCTTTTGCTGGCCGCTGCATTATGATTTCATTTTCTAATCGAGTTCGTCTTCATCTGCAGCAGCCTCACTTCATATTGCTTTTCTATGGTCAACATAAACGGCGATCTGCTGGAAAAATAAAATCACGCATACGCCGCGTATGACGAAAGTGAAACAGGCGCGACAAAGGAGGCCCATAAAAAGCAGTAGTCAAAATAAAGCCAAGTAAAAGAGAAAGAGCAAAACGGCCAGAGAGCGGGAGGGAAATGAAAAATAAAAATAAGAAGAAAAAGAAAAAAAGAGGGAACGGGAAGAAATAGAGAGCTAGAACGGTAGCTTCACTTTTTTTCGGCAGTTCAACAAACTTTGAAACGAACTTGGGTCAATAAACTATGCAAAACCCACGGCGGGATCATTAGATGATCACCATCATAACGATGATGATGGCGCTTGAGCTGAACCGATTCTTTTGTCTAAGGCAAACGCATAAATGGAAAAGAATAACAAGACAAGAGGTCAATGGCAGCCACACTCGCCTCAAATTGAATGCAAAGTGGTGAAGGGACAAGCGCTGTAATAAAAAAGCTAAGAAAAAAGGGAAAATAGTTTTTGTTTGGGTAAAGAACAATATAACGAAAATAAAGGAGCAATAAAGACTATTAAAATTAGTAATTTCGGTCTTTGACCTAGCAATTAAAATAATTTTAGGATTCCGTTTAGGTTTTAAATCTTCTTTGAAGAATTTATAAAAATATGCATTCGCAACTAAGGCTTAAACCAAGATTTATACCGAAACTGAATGCATCACATTCACTTAAATAAATTGTGATAAAATTGATAATCCCAGGATACTTAAAATTGTCATACTGATTGCAGAAACTCGTTAAAAACATAAAAAAAAGGTTTTTTGGTTAAAAAGTAACTAACTAAAATTTCGTTTGAATGAGCTGCGAGGGTAGAAATAGCGCCATCTATACACTAGATTCTTAAAACAAAAAATCTGGGTTTGAGTCGCGGCTAAAAACGCTACGAAGATAATTAAATACACTAGCGCCTCCACTTACCGATCAAAAATCGATGCGTCGATACTACCGATTCGATAGTGTTATCGAAGTTAGTCCACAAATTTGTCAAAACACAAACAATTTTATAAAAATCCAGCATTTTCTTTAAATATGAGCTCGCCCACGAGTAAAAATGTTAGCGAAACCAATGGAAACAAGCCCAAGAAGTCGGGCAAGACGAATTCGAATGCGAAGAGTGGGCAAATGGACACACGTGCCGAACTGGCGGACCTCATCAAAAAAAAGGCGGAAACCTCGGTGAGACGCAATATAAACAAACACGAAACCGGGCCATTATATCATTATTACATTGTTCGATTGACAGGAGCAACTGGCCAATCTGGAGCGACAGATCTACGCCTTCGAGGGATCCTACTTGGAGGACACTCAGCTGTGCGGAAACATCATCCGCGGCTGGGAGCGCTACCTGACCTCCAACAAGGCGACCAATTCCAAGGCCGACAAGCGGAACCGCAAGTTCAAGGAGGCGGAGCGCCTCTTCTCGAAGTCCAGCATTACCTCCATGGCTATATGCAATCGTAAGTTTGGAATCAATAGCAGTCGCTCCTTAATCCGTTTCGAAAAGTTCCTCATCTTAAGATATTGGTTATTATTGGAACATTGTTAAATTACAATGTATATCTATTCTAAATAATTTTGACATATAAGCCTGTTTATATATGGTTTCCTTGGGAACGATATAAGCTTGAGTTCGTATATACTTCGGCATGCCGAGGTTTCTCTCTTATTTTTATTTATTTATAATTATGTTCTGAAATACGCTTATTTTTAGCCGAGCGCGCCAGCGAATCGGATTCCATTACTAATGAAGACTCCAGCGACAATCAGATCTCAATCAACCAGAACACTACCACGGCCCACGATGGAGCCACGACAATCAAGAGCACGCCAAAAGATGAAAAGGGTAAGGCAGAACTTCCGAAGATGATGTCTGCATCGAGGGGATATAAATAAGATTCATACAAAAGCTAAGATGATGGAAAACATAAGAGGATTTTATGAAAATGAATTCAGAAATCAAAAGAGATTCCAAACGAAGCTATCATTAAAGAGCCTTACCCAACATTGTGATTAATATGATTATTTTTGCATAAAAAATAGAAAGTATTTGAAACATAAATATTTATTCTATACAGACTGAGATGTAGACTGATTCTCAATTACAAATAGGAAACATTTCAGACTAGACACTTAGACACACTAGACACTTTTCTGTGAAACCAAAAAATATATTAAGCTTATAAAAACCTCATAAGCGTTAAAAAGCATTTGTTGATTAAAGGCTCAATACTTTAAAAGTAAACCACTTCCTAAATCAATAAAGAAAACTTTAAACATATAGTTTTAATATCAAATTTTGTAATTATAAGAAGGACCTGCAGTTCATGAAATAATACTTCTCTATTGAAAAACTTGAGATAAATTAAATAATCAAGACTAGTTTATAATTATTAAAGTATGTATACCTAAACTACACCACTTTTGCAATTCCCTTATTAATTCCGTGGTTATCAATTAACTTACAGATTCCCCCTCGCATCGAAATGAGAGTAGTCTGGCAGTTGCTGGAGGTACCGGACTGGTACCTGGATCTGCTGGCGGTGGAGGTGTCGGTTCAGGAGCAACTCTAGGCACACCCACTTCGAATACAAAGAGCAAACTTTCCACTAACTCCAGTGCGACGGCCAAAAAGAGCGGGCACATAAATAAGAAGATTCGACATCGATGATGACTACTACGGTTGGGTCTTCACCGGAAATATTAACTTTTTAAGTTCAAAGTTTTTAAATTTAAATTTGTTCAACTAATAAAACAAATGTAGATTTTAAACTAAGTATTTTTTTGTTGCTTTGGGAAATTCTATAAATCTACTTTGGTGAAATTTTGTTCTTGTTGTAATGAAATAATAACAGTAAGAAAAATGATTAATCCTCGTAAGAAAATCCATTTACGTTATAGAACAAATAAAATGTGAGCGAGCGGAATTTTCAAATGTAACAAGTAAATGGCCACACTAAATCCCGCTGTGCCAGTGTTGCACAACTCTCGATTCGGGAAAGTGACGTGTGTTCTAGTTCTGTGATTTGGTTCCTAAAAACCGGAACCAGCACAAATGAACTGACTTTACGTTTACGAGATCTATTTTTCTGTCGGCAAATCTGAATTGTTAGGAAAACTGTTTGGAAAATTGTTTGGAAAGGCAATCAAATCACGCCTTCAGAGCAAGGTCACCGGAAGACGCGTTACCAAGGTCGCCACTGAAGATGGTCGGCACCACCACAATCTGCACCACCAAGGTGGCTGCGCCAAAGTTTCGTGCAATTTGTTTATGTCTGCTCATCGCCAGCTGCTACGTGTCGCAGTCCCAAGCGGATGAGCACAACCACAAGGTGAGTTTGGGTCCCTTGCCTACACGCAGTTGCACTACATCTCCTATATTTCTAGTACAATGACCGAGAGGAGGTGGTCCTGTGGATGAACACGGTGGGTCCGTATCACAATCGGCAGGAGACCTACGCCTACTTCTCCCTGCCCTTCTGCAGTGGCCAAAAGTCCTCGATTTCGCATTACCACGAGACCCTCAGTGAAGCCCTCCAAGGAGTGGAACTGGAGTTCAGTGGCTACGAGATGGAGTTCAAGAACGATGCCCCGCGATCCGTCATCTGCATGATCACCTTGCAGGAGGAGAGCGCCAAGGCATTCACTTATGCCGTGAAGAACGAGTACTGGTACCAGATGTACATCGACGGGCTGCCCATTTGGGGAAAGGTCGGCGAGCGGGACGAACGGGATGGAAAATACTATATCTTTTCGCACAAGAAGTTCGACATTGGCTACAATGGCCAGCAAATCGTCGACATCACCCTTACCACCGATGCTCGGGAGGAACTGAAGCCGGGCTCGCAAATCAACTTCTCCTACGAGGTCAACTGGAAGCCCAGCAAGGTGGAGTTCAAGAATCGATTCGACAAGTACCTGGACCCCAACTTCTTCCAACACAGGGTGCGTATTAAATATTGTAAACGGAAACAATAATACATTTTTCAGTATATCATGGTAATACAACCTAAGCGGGGAAAAAGTTATATCTTTAATAGTAAATCTGTCAATGAGTAAGCAGATCACGAGTTTATAGATAAAGCAAACTTTGTTTCAAAAACAACTTCCTGTGAATGAATCATTGCAACAGTTAAAGTTGTTTTATATTTTTAAGTGGCTTAAGTTGTTTCTAAAATCAATTGTGGCCGAGTTGAGCTATATAGAACTTTGATATCTGAGATCAGATCTAGAAAATTACCACCATTGGTATTCCAGAAATCTCTCGGGTTGTTTGGACACCACCGTACGAGGATGCCAAACATTATATTTCCATTGCTTAAGCTAATGTTTTAAATTAAAACACGACAAATATATCAAATTCATGTTATTTAGAATCAAAGAACCATAAATATATTTCTGGAATTCAATTTTTTAATTAAGTTACAATTTAATATAGATTATATTTCCGCCAGATGTTGTGCTATTCTTTCCAAAATTATTAATTTATATTTACCCTTTCTTTAAACCCCTACAGATCCATTGGTTCAGCATTTTCAACAGTTTCATGATGGTCATTTTCCTGGTGGGTCTCGTATCTATGATTCTGATGCGAACTTTGCGCAAGGATTATGCGCGGTACAGCAAAGACGAGGAGGTGGACGACATGGAGCGCGATCTGGGCGATGAGTACGGATGGAAGCAGGTGCACGGCGACGTCTTCCGTTCGCCACCAAACACGCTGCTGTTTTCGGCTTTGGTTGGAGCTGGATACCAACTAATTTCGGTGGTGTTTTGTGTGATTATGTTCGCCATAGTCGGTGAACTGTACACGGAACGTGGTTCCATGCTGTCCACCGCCATATTTGTGTATGCTGCGACCTCTCCAATTAATGGTTACTTTGGAGGATCACTGTATGCCCGATTGGGAGGACGAATGTGGATTCGGCAGATGCTGGTCTCCGCATTTACAGTCCCAGTGGCTGTGTGTGGCACGGCTTTCCTGATCAATTTCATTGCCATCGGTTATCACGCCTCGAGAGCCATTCCCTTTGGCACTATGGTGGCTGTCACCTGCATCTGTCTCTTTGTGATCCTGCCCTTGACTTTGGTGGGCACTGTGGTGGGCCGCAACCTGGACGGACAGCCGGACTTCCCGTGTCGAGTGAACGCTGTACCACGACCCATTCCCGAAAAGAAGTGGTACATGGAGCCGCTGATTATTGTCCTCCTGGGTGGCGTCTTGCCCTTCGGCTCCATCTTTATTGAGATGTAAGTGTTTACCGAACATTTTAGGCAATTTTTAATCAAAACATGATGCGCATATTTACAATACAGTAATTATTTACTTAGTATAAAAGCAATCATATCACGAATAATTTACTTTACAATGATAATCCAGAATACAAATTTTTTTCCATTTCTCAGATTAGTGATAAATATATATTTAATATATATATAATTTAATGCCAAAAAGGTCAACTATGAACTATGAATAAGTTTTTATCATAATACATGGCCCCTAAGTACTTATAATTTTCGAAAATTTGCTTTAAAAACAAAATGATCCCGAAAAGGTCGAAAAAGACATATTATATATTGTTTAATTGATATACTATACGTTTTAGTTTGTAAGATACTAATATTATTTAAAGAGAGTAAGTTAATTTTACTGTTTTTTTCCCTACAGGTACTTTATCTTCACTTCCTTCTGGGCGTACAAAATCTACTATGTCTATGGCTTTATGTTGCTGGTGTTCAGCATCTTGACCGTGGTCACTGTGTGTGTTACTATTGTGTGCACATACTTCCTGCTGAATGCGGAGGACTACCGATGGCAGTGGACGAGTTTCATGGCGGCGGGCTCCACGTCCATTTACGTGTATGCCTACTCCTTTTACTACTTCTTTTTTAAGACCAAGTAAGTCGCTTATTTGTGATTAATACAATGATAGTCTTTAATAAATATAATATGTTTTTTGCAGAATGTTTGGTCTGTTCCAAACGGCCTTCTACTTTGGCTACATGGCCCTCTTCAGCGGCGCCTTGGGAATTATCTGCGGCACCGTCGGCTATGTGGGCACGAATCTCTTCGTGCGCAAAATCTATTCCAATGTGAAAATAGACTAAGAGCCCTGCGACTCGAACCGCCGCAACCCGCCCCCAGATCTGTATATCATCCTAATCGATTTACACTTGTATTTATTGAGTAGAGTTTTAGTTCTGTGTGTTTTCATTTGCTCCAGTTGGCTCTTCTCTCCGTCTCTTTTTGCGTTTCTCACTTCTCATGTTGGTGTGAAAATGAATGCCAGTCCAATGTATTCGCACCAAAGATTAAATATTCAGTTTAACGATGTACACGCAGGGCACATATATAACTTAAATAGTGCTTTTCGGAATTGTAAGACTTTGAAATGAACTTTGAAATCTAATTCTGACGAAATGTAGAAAAAATAACATTAAGATATAATTGAAAATTGAAAGCTCAGTTTCTTGCATTTACTTTCTAATAGATTTAAGAGGCAATTATTAATCTTATCTTTTTCAATTGGAGTCTCCCCTAATTCCATAAAATTAATAATTAAAAAATAACCAAGATTAACTTTTGTATTGCTTTGTATATTTTCATATCTAAATATTGATAGTCTTATATTTTCTACAAAGTCCGAAGATTACATTTTTGCCTTATATGTGCTCAGAGTTTGCGTATGCCTGCGTACCGTATACATCAAGTATTTTATTTGAATCGTTTGCCTAGAAAACTTATCAATCTATGCAATTGCAACAAAATGTGACTTGAACTTGTTTGCGCCAATTAAGTTTATGTACGATGCAAGAAATGTGCTGATTAGCAATAGTCGATAATCTTATAATAAATTCAATATATAAAACCAATCCAAAGATTGATTACTTTAGATTTCACCATCATCTTAATCACTATCAAACACTAAGATCGTTAAACGATTCATAATCCGCTCAGTAACATTGACCCTCAAATTGTTGTTCAATTGTTGGGAGGCAAACAACTTGAGCGGTATTCTTTTTCGATTTTTTGACATTAATTGGTTTGCTGCTTATCTGCTGGTTTATTAGTGGGCCAATTACCGATTTTAACACTCTTAATGATTTTTGGGAAGCAACAATGCCAGAAAATAAAAAAACCAGGGAGCTTCAAGTACTTTGGAATTATTCCATGACAATACAATTGATAAAGACTTCTAGAGCGTTTTTTGTTACTGATAGGGTTTCGTTTGGGATAACGTACTTGAGCTATCATTATTATGAACAAGATTAATCCCTGCAGTCCCTCTTTTATACCCTAAACACTTTGGTAAGATAACTGACTTCTCAGTTCAATAATATTTACTTTACTTAGTATATAGTGAAAGTTCGTCAGTTCTATAATTTTTTATAATGTTAGAAAACCCAGAAATCTCTCGGGTTGTTTGGACACCACCGTACGAGGATGCCAAACATTATATTTCCATTGCTTAAGCTAATGTTTTAAATTAAAACACGACAAATATATCAAATTCATGTTATTTAGAATCAAAGAACCATAAATATATTTCTGGAATTCAATTTTTTAATTAAGTTACAATTTAATATAGATTATATTTCCGCCAGATGTTGTGCTATTCTTTCCAAAATTATTAATTTATATTTACCCTTTCTTTAAACCCCTACAGATCCATTGGTTCAGCATTTTCAACAGTTTCATGATGGTCATTTTCCTGGTGGGTCTCGTATCTATGATTCTGATGCGAACTTTGCGCAAGGATTATGCGCGGTACAGCAAAGACGAGGAGGTGGACGACATGGAGCGCGATCTGGGCGATGAGTACGGATGGAAGCAGGTGCACGGCGACGTCTTCCGTTCGCCACCAAACACGCTGCTGTTTTCGGCTTTGGTTGGAGCTGGATACCAACTAATTTCGGTGGTGTTTTGTGTGATTATGTTCGCCATAGTCGGTGAACTGTACACGGAACGTGGTTCCATGCTGTCCACCGCCATATTTGTGTATGCTGCGACCTCTCCAATTAATGGTTACTTTGGAGGATCACTGTATGCCCGATTGGGAGGACGAATGTGGATTCGGCAGATGCTGGTCTCCGCATTTACAGTCCCAGTGGCTGTGTGTGGCACGGCTTTCCTGATCAATTTCATTGCCATCGGTTATCACGCCTCGAGAGCCATTCCCTTTGGCACTATGGTGGCTGTCACCTGCATCTGTCTCTTTGTGATCCTGCCCTTGACTTTGGTGGGCACTGTGGTGGGCCGCAACCTGGACGGACAGCCGGACTTCCCGTGTCGAGTGAACGCTGTACCACGACCCATTCCCGAAAAGAAGTGGTACATGGAGCCGCTGATTATTGTCCTCCTGGGTGGCGTCTTGCCCTTCGGCTCCATCTTTATTGAGATGTAAGTGTTTACCGAACATTTTAGGCAATTTTTAATCAAAACATGATGCGCATATTTACAATACAGTAATTATTTACTTAGTATAAAAGCAATCATATCACGAATAATTTACTTTACAATGATAATCCAGAATACAAATTTTTTTCCATTTCTCAGATTAGTGATAAATATATATTTAATATATATATAATTTAATGCCAAAAAAGGTCAACTATGAACTATGAATAAGTTTTTATCATAATACATGGCCCCTAAGTACTTATAATTTTCGAAAATTTGCTTTAAAAACAAAATGATCCCGAAAAGGTCGAAAAAGACATATTATATATTGTTTAATTGATATACTATACGTTTTAGTTTGTAAGATACTAATATTATTTAAAGAGAGTAAGTTAATTTTACTGTTTTTTTCCCTACAGGTACTTTATCTTCACTTCCTTCTGGGCGTACAAAATCTACTATGTCTATGGCTTTATGTTGCTGGTGTTCAGCATCTTGACCGTGGTCACTGTGTGTGTTACTATTGTGTGCACATACTTCCTGCTGAATGCGGAGGACTACCGATGGCAGTGGACGAGTTTCATGGCGGCGGGCTCCACGTCCATTTACGTGTATGCCTACTCCTTTTACTACTTCTTTTTTAAGACCAAGTAAGTCGCTTATTTGTGATTAATACAATGATAGTCTTTAATAAATATAATATGTTTTTTGCAGAATGTTTGGTCTGTTCCAAACGGCCTTCTACTTTGGCTACATGGCCCTCTTCAGCGGCGCCTTGGGAATTATCTGCGGCACCGTCGGCTATGTGGGCACGAATCTCTTCGTGCGCAAAATCTATTCCAATGTGAAAATAGACTAAGAGCCCTGCGACTCGAACCGCCGCAACCCGCCCCCAGATCTGTATATCATCCTAATCGATTTACACTTGTATTTATTGAGTAGAGTTTTAGTTCTGTGTGTTTTCATTTGCTCCAGTTGGCTCTTCTCTCCGTCTCTTTTTGCGTTTCTCACTTCTCATGTTGGTGTGAAAATGAATGCCAGTCCAATGTATTCGCACCAAAGATTAAATATTCAGTTTAACGATGTACACGCAGGGCACATATATAACTTAAATAGTGCTTTTCGGAATTGTAAGACTTTGAAATGAACTTTGAAATCTAATTCTGACGAAATGTAGAAAAAATAACATTAAGATATAATTGAAAATTGAAAGCTCAGTTTCTTGCATTTACTTTCTAATAGATTTAAGAGTCAATTATTAATCTTATCTTTTTCAATTGGAGTCTCCCCTAATTCCATAAAATTAATAATTAAAAAATAACCAAGATTAACTTTTGTATTGCTTTGTATATTTTCATATCTAAATATTGATAGTCTTATATTTTCTACAAAGTCCGAAGATTACATTTTTGCCTTATATGTGCTCAGAGTTTGCGTATGCCTGCGTACCGTATACATCAAGTATTTTATTTGAATCGTTTGCCTAGAAAACTTATCAATCTATGCAATTGCAACAAAATGTGACTTGAACTTGTTTGCGCCAATTAAGTTTATGTACGATGCAAGAAATGTGCTGATTAGCAATAGTCGATAATCTTATAATAAATTCAATATATAAAACCAATCCAAAGATTGATTACTTTAGATTTCACCATCATCTTAATCACTATCAAACACTAAGATCGTTAAACGATTCATAATCCGCTCAGTAACATTGACCCTCAAATTGTTGTTCAATTGTTGGGAGGCAAACAACTTGAGCGGTATTCTTTTTCGATTTTTTGACATTAATTGGTTTGCTGCTTATCTGCTGGTTTATTAGTGGGCCAATTACCGATTTTAACACTCTTAATGATTTTTGGGAAGCAACAATGCCAGAAAATAAAAAAACCAGGGAGCTTCAAGTACTTTGGAATTATTCCATGACAATACAATTGATAAAGACTTCTAGAGCGTTTTTTGTTACTGATAGGGTTTCGTTTGGGATAACGTACTTGAGCTATCATTATTATGAACAAGATTAATCCCTGCAGTCCCTCTTTTATACCCTAAACACTTTGGTAAGATAACTGACTTCTCAGTTCAATAATATTTACTTTACTTAGTATATAGTGAAAGTTCGTCAGTTCTATAATTTTTTATAATGTTAGGTGTAGGTGTTTGGGTCTTATTTGATAGGTATGACTAGTATTGAGTGAAAATTCTTTCGAAACGAGGAAAAGTAGAGTTTTTTAGAGTATTTATAGATTTAAACTGAGGCTCACAGTCCTCCTTCATCCGGTTTTACTTTTCCGCTTATCTGAACGCTCAAGAGGCCCAAAGTCACCAGTTTTCAAGAGAATGACGATCGTTTGCAAGTGGACACTTACAGAATGGATGAGTGCCACTTATGACGCGTGTTTTCGACGGCTTTGTCAATGGAACTCTTAGATTAGTCGGAAATGTCGTAGAACCTTTTCATTTAAATCCGTCTTAGGAACATATTGATTTCGTAATTTATGCTAATTCTGGCACACGAAAATTATAACGGCGCTCCAGAGAAGATCTCCAGAATTTCCTTTTCAAATTTCTGGGTGTCATTTTGATGGCAAGCGCCCACATTTAGTCACATAAATTGTCTGACTTAATCACAATTTACGACTTGGTTGACATTTGATGCATTTTTGAAGTTTTCCCTGCTGACTGTTGGCCAAGAACCAGAACCTTGCTGACCCGGTTTATGAGCTCGGCCCTTGAGGTCTAATGATATTCGTGTGTATTTTGTTGCATAAATTATCATAAACGTCAGCGAACACCGTGGTAAATGCCTTTTTCCGTTTGATCTGTATAACATTTCCCTTTCGATTGTGGGCTCGGAACAGTTATGGAGATGCGGGAAATGTGTTTTGGGCTTGATCTTGAGATTATTTGGTTTATTTAATATGTACATTAAAATATTTGTCAACTCTTTTGATCTGGTCTCGAGTTTTCCAGCTTATAAAAGCGGCTACCGAGTCCTAGGCTCAGCTCAGTCTGTCTCAAAGTGGTTTCTCATCAGCATCATGGGTTATTGGGGTCTCTTGGCTTTTTTGGCTTTGGGTGAGTTTATAAAGAGTTCTTTTTATTGTACAATTTTGTGATACATTATGTGCCTGTAGGCCTTTGCTCTACTGTTCAGTCTTCTTTGGTGAAATGCTCGTGTGATCCTGGTGCCAAGGGCGAGCGAGGACCTCCTGGGCCGCCCGGTCCTCCTGGTGGCTATTGGGGCTATCCGCCCATGGGTCCTTATCCTCCAAATCTGCCCATTATCCCGGGACCTAGAGGCTTACCCGGTCCACCGGGTCCTCCTGGATATTGTTTTCCCTGTCCAGCGGTGCCACCTGTGGTTCCACCTGTGGTTCCACCTGTGGTCCCACCTGTGGTTCCACCTGTGCTTCCACCTGGAGTGCCCGTTCCACCGTTCATTTCCACCCAAGCAGTTCCTGGTGGAGGAGCATCCGCCTTGACCACTGCCGTGGGCAACATTATAGTCATTCCCGGAGGAACTGGAACAGGACTAACTGGTCGCGCTCAGTTCTTCCACATTTCGCCCGATGGTCAGGTGATCCAGATCGAGCGACCGCAGAATCTGCCCAGTGAACTATTCGATTCACCTGCTGGCCAGAGCCCTCAGCCTCAGTCCACTTCCGCATCTCTGTCGGGGATCACACCACCCGCTGTGCAAGTGGCACCCACTCAGCCTACGCCCGGAGAACTGGTTGCCCCGCAGACTACATCGTTGCCGGAAAATATAGAAGAAACCGTATATGCTGTGGGCAATCGAAAGGACTTCCTGCGAGGAAGCACCGATGCCAGCGATTGGCGGAGGATTCTCCTCTTGGGCGAGAGACCCCCCGATGGATTGCTCACTCCCAAGGGCCACTCCGTCCAGCAGCACAATCCCAACCAGCTGGAGAACAGCATGGAGAACTTCCAGAAAGCTCTGGTCGAGCTCAAGGAGAAGTATGCGACGCTCATCCAACCGCGCAGTTCCAATCAATATGCAGTCATCATTTGAGGAGCAAAGTCGAGATTGGAGTTGGTTGAATATTTAAATAAAAACTGTACTGATAATGTCTAACAATAATCTGACTTACCATTATTAAAAACGATTGGTTGTCACGTTTAATTATTTAGGTATCGCTAATAGTAGTTAAAGTAAACAAAATCAAAGATAAATAAATTTCGACGGTTTAACAAAAATAGAAATACTTATCAGGGTATTCCCATCGGAATTCCGTAATGACAATTATCAACAATGATTATGCGCAAAATATATTCCACAATTATAAAAGATTCTTTAGAGAACCTAAATTAAATGGATAGTACAATGATTTTAAGTTTTATTAACTCATTTGGGGGAATGCGTATCATAAAGACTGATATTTGCGATATGAGAAATTCTGGGAAAGATAGCAATAGATATCAAACAAATCGCATTTAGTTGTCTACTTCAAAATTCAATTTGTTGCACTAGTTTATCAAATTAAATAGATTTAATTTTCTGATTAAAATTTAAAAATAATATTTCTAAGAATTGGTGGGTAAATAATTTTTGGTTTGGGACCTTGATATAAATCTTCAAAAGCAGTTCTTTCCGATCACACCACACGCCCAAAGACAAAGTCCAAAACTAGAATGTTTCGTACAGTTCTAATCGGATTTAATCGCGTTTTTTATGTCTGCCTATAATCAGACAATATTGGTATATTTAGTTTTTCTTATTGATAGGAGTAATCCCCGATCGAATATATTTTTCTCGAGGGCCATGTGTCGCAGCACCTGTCAATTGTTGAGTATTCGTATGACACGATAAAGCGTACGTGAGAATCGTCTAGTGGACGAGCTAATTAAGAGTCCTTCGGCCTGTCAATCACCTCTTCATTCTTCATTCCTTATCACAGGCGGTAAGTCCGTCGCCAACGCACGCGGCAAAGGCCATGATGTGCGGAATGGTGTTCTGCTCGTAGACTCCGGTGAAGAGATGGGCCCAGGGTCCGGAGGCAAAGACGCCGACATCCTCGCCGCCGTGGGTCTCCGACTCCAGGGGCACCGTGGCGGGGAAGAGCTGGTCAAAGTCACCGATGGTGGGCAGACTGGTGGGATCCTCGCGCTCGTGGGTCTCCGTGTTGTAGAAGTCCTCGAAACTCTTGCCGTTCGCATAGCTCAGTGCCAGATAGGGTTTGCCATCCTGGCCCTTCGCCTTGGCCGCTCCGAAGATGTCGCTGCCGCGGGGCTGGTAGCCGGACACGCTGAAGGTGTGCGAGTGATCCGAGGTGACCACGATGAGCGTCTCCTCCGGGTTGGTCATCTCCCTGGCCCTCTTCACCGCCTTCGATAGCTCGGCGGTCTCGTCCAGAGCAATTCGCGCCATGGTGTCGTGATGACTGATGTCGATCTTTCCCCCCTCGACGAAGAGGAAGTAGCCCTGCTCCTCGGTTTCCAGCACTTCAATGGCCTTCTGCGTCATCTCCTCCAGTGTGGGCTCATTGTTGTTCGGATCGGCCAACTGTTCGAGGTGGTAGTGCAAGTGACTCTTGCTGAACAGACCCAATAGTCTGCCCGTTTCGGTGGCATTCACTTCGAGCAGTTTCTTCTGCGTTTTAACAAACGTATTGCCCTCGCTTAAGGCCTCGAATTCCTCGACGAGATTGCGGCCATCGGTGCGTCTGCCCTTGTCGTAGTGCTCCGGACTGTAGAAGCTCCGCTTGCCACCACCCAGCATTACCTTCAGTTTGCTGCCCACTTCGCCATGGATCAACTGGACGGCTATGTCCTGGAGACCCTCCGATTGCTCACCGCAGGCCTCCTCCAGGGCAGCATTGTTCTCCCACTCACGGTCGGCGACATGGGCGTAGACGCCCGAGGGCGAGGCATGGGTCACTCGGGTGGTGGTCACCAGTCCAGCTGCCTTTCCCGCATCCATGGCCCATTTGCCCAGGGAGAAGACATGGTTCTTTTCATCGGCCATGGCCAAGCAGTCGCCTCTCTTCACATGGGCATTCACGCCAATGGTTCCGTAGTTGGCCTTCACTCCGCACAGGTAGGAGGTGGAGGTGCAGGCACTGTCGGGAACTATCTTGTCCACCGAGTAGGTCTTGGACAGCCCGGTGAATGGAAACTCTTCGAACGAGAGCTTCAGCTCTTCGCCTCCAATGTAGCTACGGGCAGCAGCCAGAGTGGCCAAACCCATGCCATCGCCCAGGAATAGGATTATGTTCTTGGCCTTGTTCGTGTTCCTCACATACTCCAGCTTCTCACGGATGAGTTTCTTGCCGGCCGAGTGCCAGTACTCCTGGGTGTCCTCGCCGGCAATCGTACGAAGTCTGGGACTACTGGGCAGATGCGGATGCATTCGCTCCTCGTCGACGGGAGCTTTTCCAGGCACTGCTGCCCCCGAAACGATGGTCAGCAGGGCCAGACCAAACCAGAACTTAGGACTCAGCATTTCGGAGATGCTTTCACTGCGCCAGCCAAGTGAACACTGTACTCCGGACTCACTCACCGCCCATTAATATACCATCAGGTGCAGCTTGGGGGATCGGCTAATTTACGACCTCTTCTTGAACAGACCGTGATACTCACGTTTCTAGGCACTCGAGATAATTAATCGATCGCCACTTTAGATTGCTCAAATCACAAAAACAATCATATGTACAATGCTTATGTGTATGACAGGAAGAACGCTTTGAGAATCGGAGGCTATATAACCGGGCCAATCCGTCTATTTTGGCCAGTCTCGCGGTCAATTTCGAACCGAGCATTTCTCAGCTTCAAGTTACCGCCCCCTCAAGATGGTAAAAATTGGACTGATCGTGTGCTTTTCCGCTCTCCTGTTCATCCAGGTTCGGAGTGAACTAACCGATGACCGAGAAAATGGTAAGTGTTGCCGAAAGAAAATACGAAGGGAGCCCCCTTAACCAATCGTATTCGTTTGGGCTCCAACCTTATCTACAGCCAATTGAAAAAACCCACCTGCCTTATCGCAAATCTTGTGGCTTTATTAGACTGGGCTAATCTATATCTACATATATATGTTAGGTTATCATCGAAAAGGTAATATGATTTACGATTCATTCGTTCATGATGAATGAATGTTAAACGTTTATTTAGTTCTCGTAAACAAGTGAATTGTAAATGATAACTGAAAATATATTGCCATTTATAGCTGAATTAAAAATAAAATAAACATTTTATAGGTATTACAAAATTATTATTAAGCAAACAGTTCAGAAATTCTTTATCTTTAATTCGTTCTACTACAATTTAAAAAAAAACTATAAAAAGTAAATGGATCTTATTTATCTGTATATGCATATCATTTATACTATCTGCAAAAAGAACTAAAATACCTTACAAAAAGTCAAATATTTAACCTTTTGGACTCAAATTAAGAGTCATAACACCTGCATATTTAAGCGATAAAATTACGAAGTCATGATGAAACTATTAAAGATTAAAACGTTTTTAGCACGTTTTATGAAGGTTTAATCAGGTGCGATTTTCCAGCGATTAAATTGAAGCCCATAAATAGCTATAATTAAAACTGATTTATAGATCTAATCTAGGACAGCCAGAAAACATGTTTACCACTTCAAAATGTAGTTTTATTAGACCAACTTTCCCGGCGATTAGTTGCTAACCCAAAGTCCGGTCCTTACAGCCCAACATCCCCGACTGGCGTCATCACGCGACTTCGAGGCCCTTGACGAGGAGCTGGAAACACGGTTCTGGCACGATAAGGCCCAATCGATTCTGGCCGATAAGCTGGCTAGCCACAACAAACTCAACGAGAATCGAGCCAAGAACGTGATCCTCTTTCTGGGCGACGGCATGTCCATCCACACGATAGCGGCCACACGTGCCTTCATGGGCGATAGCAACAAGCAGGTCTTCTTCGAGAAGTTCCCCTACCTGGGACTGTCCAAGACCTATGCGGTGGATGAACGCACTCCGGACTCGGCCAGCACGGCCACGGCCTATTTGACCGGAGTCAAGGCCAACTATGGCACCATCGGAGTGAATGCCCAGGTGCAGAGGGGCGATTGTGTGACCAATTCCAGTAACCATGTCCACAGCATTGGTCAGTGGGCTCAGGAGGCGGGCAAGTGGGCGGGCATTGTGACCACCGCCCGGGTGACACATGCCTCTCCAGCCGGCGTTTATGCCCATGTGGCTGAGCGGAACTGGGAGCACGACGGCGAGATCGTTAACTCAAAGTGCAGTCCGGATATCAACACGGACACGGCCCGCCAACTGGTGGAGTGGCCAGTGGGCCAGGAACTTCGCGTCATACTGGGCGGTGGTCGGTCCAATTTCCGGGATCAGTCCCAGCACGATGAAGTTGGCGTTGCGGGCCTGCGAACCGATGGCCGAGATCTGATCCATGACTGGCAGGAGATCAAGAAACGCCAGGGATCGGAGGGCAGGTATGTGTGGTCCCTCAAGGGCCTCAAGGAAACGGATCTCAGCAAGACGGACTATCTGCTTGGGCTCTTCGACACTTCCCATCTGCCCTACCACGGTGATCGTCGGCGCACCCACTACGAGGACGCGGAGCCATCCCTTTCCGACATGACAGAGGCGGCCATCGATTTGCTCAGTAAGAACGAGGAGGGTTACTTCCTCTTCGTGGAGAGCGGTCGCATCGATATGGCCCATCACGCCACGAAAGCGAGGAAGGCTCTGGAGGATACCCAAGAATTCGCGGCGGCCGTGGAAAAGGCAAGGAAAATGACCAACGATGAGGACACTCTCATCGTGGTTACGTCGGATCACTCGCACACCATGTCTATCAATGGCTACCCGGTGAGTAGAGTTATTGTAGGAATAACTATTTAAAATATTAACTTTGAAAGGATTCATTCCTGGTATAGAAAACCAATTAATATTTATTTTTAATAAGGAGATATAAAGAAAATATTATCAAGAAAATAAAATCAATTTTAAGAAATCTAAAACTTAAGTATAATCATTCAAACATTTTCTGAAGACTTTCTAAGCTTAATTTCTTATAACAACATAAGTAATCTTAAGCTGCTAACTAAGTATTTTTTCTAATCCACTTACCCATCTTCTCTATTTAGTATCGTCGCCAGAACATCCTGTCCCTGGCTCCCAACCTGGCTGATGACGAACTGCCGTTTACCATCCTGTCCTATGCAAATGGTCCAGGATTCATCGATACCTACAGTTCCGAGTCGGGACGCATTGATCTTGCCCATGTGGACACGACGAACGAGGAGTTCGCCTTCCAGGCCACGGTTCCCTTGAGTAGCGAAACCCATGGCGCCGAGGATGTGGGTGTCTTCGCCTCCGGTCCCTTCGAGCATCT